CCCCTCCTTTTATCTCGGATGTTTTAAAATATTTCTATGCTTATGATTATAAAAAAAAAAGTCATATCCTTGATGAATTACATTCATTACCTCCTCCTACACTGATGATCGGTCAATTTGGACATTACATAGTTCAAAGATATAGATATGTTGTATGCGAAATTGAAACTATGTGAAGTCGAAATTTATAATTAAAATTTTGGGGTGGGGGTGTTTGGATATGAAATTTCACATACGTGAATCGCAAATTCATTTTCACGCACAACAGATATAAAGAATATTCTTATAAATGAATGTTTTTTTTTCCTTATCAAAGTATCAACTAACATGCGTGTTAACGTTTCTGTTTGTGATTCTTTTTTCTTCGACGTCAACAAATACTATTTTAGAGCGTAAAAAGGTCAATATTTTTTTTAAGGCTAAATGAACTAACTTTGTTCTATAGATTATCAATCAAGAACAAAATAAAGTTATCTATTTTGTTCAAAAAAGAGATTTTGTTTATAATAATTTAGAAATACTTGGTGCAACAGAAAAATTTTAATTTTTCAAATTATCATTTAATTGAAATTTTCTTTTCTTCTGTCGACATTGAAGAAAGTTAAGTTATTGGACATTAGACGGCAGTGCATTTGAATATGAGACGTTGAGAGTATGTTGATGATAACCCTCCCAAAAAATTAATTAAAAATTTTGTTATATTTTAATTGTAATTATATATATATATCAACATTCTTGAAATACTTGAAATATCATAATATTGATATTATTAGTTTTTTTATTTTTACCTCAACTAAATAAATTAAATTTCATTTTCTCGCTCTCTTATCCATCCATCCATATCTCTTTCATCACGCTATTTTTACATCATTCTTTATATATTATTGCAAAACATGTTTATTTGGTTTTAAACATTCATCTTCTAAACTCGACACAGAAACAACCTCAATACCATTTTTCCTTAATAAATCAATCCCTTCACATTTTTCAACAAATTTATCAGGTTCCCTAACACCTAAAACAACTTTTTTTATTATTTTTGATTCAATAATTCTTTCCACACAAGGTTTATTATTTGATAGCCTCTTACTACAAGGCTCCATAGTTGTATACATTGTTGCATCTTTGGCAGCGGTGATATCATTTGAAGAAGAGGTGAGTTTTAATAGCGCACATTCTTCTGCATGAGTGTTACCTTCAAGTTCTCTTGAATATCCTGTTGAGAGAATCTTTGAATCTTTGACTATCAACTATATTTATCAATGAGTCGATTGATAGACAGATTTAGTTAGATTTATCATTTTTTTGATTAAAAATTAAAAGATTTATCACATGAAACTTGTTATAAAAAAAGTTATAACTTAAATGTTAAGGAATGGCTTGACGACAAAATAATACTAAATTTGCAAAGTCCTTGAAATCCATATAAAAAATTTCTGGTCAATTTGTAATAAAAATAAATAATATAATAATCCCGCGCAATAAAAAGTAGTACATGATTTCATTTGACTGCAAAGCAGAAGGATCAAGATATAAAAATTCGACACATTATTTAGATCAAAGTCGTTGTTTAATTATATATAGAATGACACTCGGTAATATACTGTTTATGGAAACAGCGTAAAAAAAAACAAATGCATAGTAATAAAAATGCGTAAAATATCAACCACGTTGTAGCGATTTTCAAGAAAGTCTTTTA